CCCGACGTGGGCAGGCGCTTAGAGGAGCGTTTGTATTTTAAAGAAATAATACAGTGGTTTTTTTACATCATTTTGTGCCTTTTCCCGTCTCAGGTGTCATCCCCGTGGGCTTCCCAGCACCAGGTCACCCTGTGCCGTCACCACAGTCCCGGGCATTTCCCTCTGCCCCCGTTTTTGATCCCATTCCCCGCTGCACCCCCACAAAATGCCTCTGGTACATAGCTGTTCATTGTTGTTACTATTTTCTCGCCTGGTCCATGCTATGAGTGAAGCCATCTGGGATTTTTCCCTTTCGTTCTGGCTTGCGTCACTAAGCGTGATCCCGTCCAGCTCCATCCACGTTGCCGCAGCAGGCGTGTGTTTCTTTACTTTGGTTGCTGAGTAATATTCCGTTGTGTGTATGGACCTCATCTTTTTCATCCAGTCACCCACTTTTGGGCCTTTGGGCTGCTTCCATGTCTCTCCTACTGTGAATAAAGCAGCAATAGACGTGGGGGCGCAGGTGTCTTGGAATCAGTGTTCTTGTGTCCTTGGGCAGATCCCTCGGGCCTAGGGCAGCTCCGCCTTGGGCAGTTTGAGGAGCCTCACGCAGTTGTCCACAGCGTGGTGCTCGTTTGCCCCCGGCAGTGCAGGGGAGAGGAGGTTTCGGAGCCCCCCCCATCACAAGCGCCCCGGGGGCGGCAGGAGGGCGGGTAGAGGCGGGCATGCAGGCAGGATGTGCCGCCCCAGTCTCGGCTGTAACCCTGCTGCCCCGTGCGGCCGGTTTATAGCACGATGGATGCCCAGCTCGGAATCCACCCTGCGCCGCTGGAGAGCGCACCTCGGGGGGGCAACTTCGAGGGGAGCCGCCGGAGAGGGGGCGGCCGGGCCGCCTGCCTCGCTGGCTCTCAGTCCCTGCGGCCGGCTGTCCCAGGGGCCGCGTTCAGCGCGAGGCCGGGTGCGGTCGTGACCCAGTGGGGCCTGGAGCAGGCCCGGCCGGGAGAGCTTCCAGATGGCCCTGCGACTCGCCTGCCTGCCCTGTCCATTGAGAACTGTCACGGCCCCTGGGGACGCGTCTGTGTATAAACTGCTTTCTCTGGGCTTCAGGTCTCGCACATCGGCAAGCTGAGAGACTTCCTTCTGGAGCACAGGAAAGACTACGTCAACGCGTCCAGGTGAGTGGCCCTGCTGGCTCCTCCCGCCTTGGCTCCTTGGCGCTTCTGTCCCCGCTGCTCGGTCACTCCCCGTGCAGGGGCAGGCGGGGGCGGCCGGTGCGGAGGACGTGTCGGGGGACGGCGCTGCCCCCCGCAGGCCCTGGCCAGCCGCTGTCAGAAAGCCCTGGGTGAGGCCCCCCAGGGTGGCTTCTGGAGGAGACGCAGCTGTCCGCAGGCCCGGGGACGCGCTGCCCAGCGCC